AGATAAAACAATAGGACAGAGTGGAAAACTGAGAAAATCTGACTCAATCACGGTCCAGTAATTTGATAAGTTCGAATTGACTTGTTTCTTTCGGCTGATGGCATACACTTGTCTAGAGCTATAATTGTAGACAAAGCAAAATATTTTACAGATACCTATTATTATATTATTATTTCAGATACAGATTTTAGGGGCTATGCAGAGTTAAAAGAGCTGTAGTTATTACAACCTAAAAGATCGATTGTGACTCGCCACCAAGTTAAAGTATCTCTTTTGGCCCAACAGCTTCCAAGAAGCTCAGAACGTTTCCAGCTTTTAGAGATTTGATTTGCTCTGGACGTATATGTATCATCCTAAACGAAGACTACGTTTGTTGATAAGAGGCTCACAGAAAAAGACTACGTTTGTAGACACGAGGCCCACATTCACAATAGAAGGTGCTTTGGTGATCCACGCTCCTGATTGCAGTTTCTGCAAACATCACTGCCACTAATTTCATATGAAATTGGTGTCTGTTGAGTTTGCAGTGTCCAGGTCAGTCCAGTACAGATATCTATATGTATAAATCTGCTCTCTCTTGTGATAGCGATTCTGGCTTAGCTTAAAAACGATTACAAACGTCAAGAATGTGTAAAAAATTACAATAACACATTGAAAAGTGTTATACTATGATAGTAGTACTTGCGAAAAGATAAGACCCAACCATAAACCGTATAAATCATTTTGATAATACCGAAAAGACCCTGCTAAATGATCAAAGGAGCTCATGATATAGAAAATGTTTACACGTTAGCATCGCTGCGGTTGTATGTAACCCTTGTAATAAAATAAACTTTTCCGTCCCGTGTCCCGTGAAGGCGCGTCCCTTCCGGAAGGGACGGGGTGTAGCAGGGTTGCCAACCGTATTATTATTTATTTGTACTTATGCAGCAAAAAATCTTGTAATCTGGCTTTCAAACCTTGTGCTGGTCGTACACGATTTGTCCCCATTACAATTAGTAAATCAAATCAACATATACATGTAGGTCAACGGGTCAACTAACGAAAGACGGTAAAGAAATGATTTTCTAGTAAAATTTTGTTTAGATACATGCATGTAGCCGTTAAATGTTAAAAATAAAAATATAATGAACATAGACTGGTTTAGATACTTACGATTTATGCTCCAACATGTTACAATAATACAGTGAAAAATTATGTAACAAATTATTCTGATACAATCTCGTACATAATTATACGAGGCATGTTCTCGTACCTCGTACGGAACACCAGAAATCGCGTATTTGCACAAGGAAACTCGTACGGTTGGCAACCCTGGAGAGTAGAAAGGACGTCACTCAATCATTCCACCGTATCCTCGCGCGTCGATACAACTGAACTCCTTGCGTAGAAATATATTTTGGAAATCGGCAAACTTAGAGATAAAGGCTGGCTTATATTATCTATTCAGAAGAGTGCTTTAATACAACTAGAGAGCCAAGGCCTATGTTGGCCTATATCTAAATACACATTATATATTGAGGAATGTCCATTATTGCTTTTATGGCGTATGTTTAGCCTGTTTGTTTTCGTATAAAACATTTTTAACATCCCACAAACATTCGTGAACGACATATTCAGACACAAACTTAACAATTGTATCTTCCAACCATTTCGCCATTATGACATCACAAATTAATGAATTTTCATAAGTTTGATAATTCGAGTTGATGGAAACAACATGCACGCGTCACGGGTCACTTGTGCACTCTCCTAAAGTTCTAGCTGAATTTTTAAAAACGTAACGTAAACGTAATTTTAAAAACGAGTTTTACAATTCCGAAAACTATGATAGTTTTTGCATTTATATATTCTGTACTCACAAATATAGATACAGAAGCAACTTAATTGAAGATATATGTACAAGGGCACAAATTATTTCAATCTAAAAGTTCTTCCAGTAGGCCCGTGGTAGGAAAGAATATAAAAATGACAGTCAGCGTGTACACATAAACATGTACATTACATGTCAAATATATATAAATATGGGAACTATATACATATTAGTGATGTAACGAATGTCAATATTCGTTACATCACTAATATATATATAAGTTTATATATACAAGTACATATATATTGTATAAATCCATACACATACAAGTACATATATAACGTATTGTCGTACTCTATCGATAATTATAAATATTTGAAATTTGACAACAAATATATAGAAGATATTTTCTCTAGAAAATATGGTGTCTTACAGACAGGTGACGTCACACAGCTCTCATTAAAACTTCAAACCTTAATGTGACTTCGACACCATGTTTACAAATTGGTGACGTCATTTTAGGCTCTGCCAATCCTAGGCGTTTTCGGTCACGCTGGACAATCGATAAAAAATACTTTTCTATTTTATGATTTTTAGTACCATTATCAATATCTTTTTATCAGAATAGTCAAATCATTCCCAATTTTCATGTTAAATATACATTTCAATAATTGGTACTATTTTTCACACCGTCAAATATCCTATTGTTAAAGACGATAAGGTACATATATTGTTGTTCTAAATACACAATTAATGTTTATTTATACTCTCATACAAAAAGCTAATATCTTACCTCGATGTAATGTTCACTGCATACTGAACAGTTTACGTGGTGCTTACCTGAAAACAAACATGACAATTAGTACAAATTCAAACGCGACAATTTCACAAAGAACATACATAAAGCCTCGATGACACGGGGCGAGTTTACAAGCTACAAGCCAGCGAGTTCACTACCAGCTTGTAAAATCGCCCAGTGTCATCGGCATTTTTACCATCTGCTACTCGATGATACTTTTTGGAGTCATCGAGGCTTAAATAGTGAAATTTTAATATTTGAACCTAAATTTTGTCGACAGAACACGTTAATCGAAGATGGACAAATTGAAGTGAAGCATTTTTAAGGTTTCCTTACGATAAAGTTAAACAGTTACTTTAATATACATACTACATTTACGGCAGGGCCAATTTAGCTGATTTTGGGTTTGCAAATGTTTGTCGTAGTCCAGGGAAGGTTTAAACGGTGGTAAAATATAATAAAATTGCGAGGAAGATAGTAACGACAAACAATTTATATTTAAATAAAACTAGTTTTTACGGGTTAATGCACGAAACTTTATTTATTTATTGACGTTTCGCAGCCTTTTCAGGTCTGCATCGTCAGAATAATGATTTTTTTATTTAAAATTGTCAGACTTATATTGAGCGTTCGGTTATTTCATTGGAAGATTTTTAAAATTTTATTGTCTATGTATGAATTTATTATTTAATTTACTTAATAAAGTATTTTACTTAAAATTCTTGTTTGTAATTTTGAGATTATTTATTTGACCCTAACTACCGTAAACTACCACCGGTTCCAAAATTGGGAGACCTTCCTGAGAAGAACCGGCGAAACAAACTCAAGAGAGGCTTTCTATCTCCTTCTTATGTTAAATTATGCAAACAAAAAGAACTAATAGTATCTGATGGTCTTGCAGTGTGTGGTCGGGGTTGGGATTTTATCTCCTGTATAATAGGTTCCCAAGCTGGTGGTATATACCAACCATCTTCCCTATTGAAATTTGGATATTTTTTAATCTCAATAGCCTCGCGCATCATTCGAGGAACGAACCGCCGCTCAGCTGCAAGGATCTGTGGTCTATCAAATCTAATGTAGTGGTTTGGTCCCCCTAATGCATGTTCCAAACCAACCGGGAAGGGAAAGTTATGTCCTTAGGATAGGTGATACGAAGTACACCGGGTCATCTAGTATGTTAAAAATATTGTTGATGATCATATTTCACAAGTAATTCGTTCGGTCGAGAAGCTACGCCATCGGTTCGCAAAACTACGGCGGGAGACCTTGTACTGAGAAGAACCTGCAAGAAACTCAGCAAGGGTTGTTTTTTTCTCCCTGTATTGTTATATGTATACAGAGTAGTAAAGTTGAAAAAATAATTCAGAGATACTTCTGAAGTCACCTTTCCTGTATTAGAACACTTTTAAAGAGATCTTTATGTTTGAACTCATCACATGACGAGATCATTTCATGTCATCGTACGATCTTTGCCAATTATGACGCAACTTATGGATCACACAAATATGTTATAGTGCTACAAAAATTAAAACAAATCCTGAAGCTTAAATGTGGTTCTCATTGTTTACTCAATTTACGTTCACACATATAGAAGTTGAATCGTAGTTTTCAAATAGAAAGATTGTTTTAAAGATTCCGTACCGCAAAAAAGGGAAATAAATGGAACCTTAGAATAACTTTGTTGTCCGTCCGTACGTCTGTCAAGACCCTTTACCTCAGGAATGGGCGGAGGTATTAACTTGAAATTCAGACCATATACTCTGCGGTCCCTTAAAGCTGTAAATGTGCTTCAAAAAACCAACATTCTAAGTTAACAGGACAAAAAGATACGGTCGTGAATATTGCCTACCTACCTACAAATTTATACGAAACCCTCGGTGGGTGAGTTCGACTCGCTCTTGTCAGATTTATTTTACATGTACCAGCGCTTTAATCTTTAAAACATTTTAATGACACCGTTCATTCATTCTGTTACATTGGAGATTAGTGATATGATTAAGCATTAACGATGTCAAATTTTAATTATAGTTTCTATTTTAAATACGGCAGGGAGAAAGTTTTGGAAGTTGTTTCTTAATCAGCCGCAACTGTGAATAAATTTTAACATATATACGTTAAAATAAAAGGAGTAAATGTTTGTTTCTTATTTGCAATGCTGATGATTTTAACACTAGTTAAAATTTCGACATCAAAAGTCTGTCTAAATATCTAATAATAAATATGTTCGGAATTGAATATTATTTCAACAACGATATTAAAAAAACTTATCTTTCAAAGAGTAATTTTGTAATTATGCTTACAAATTTAATGTATATTGGGAAACAATTGACTTTTTATAAAAAAAAATATGATGAAAAATGGCCACCCACAAGACGTTCACAAAATTACCTGGCTTGAAGATCTAGGAGATACTGGTGATGTGGGAGTCCTCGATGAAGGCGGATCAGCCCTGTGTTCCGCGAGCACTCTGTGCTCATTCTTGGACCCAACAACAGAGTTCTTCACACGTTCCATCTGAGCATGCAACGCCTTCCGCGAAATAATTTTGACTTTCTCATCTTTAGTACCACCATCGGCGAGTTTCCTCATCAGTCTTGCAGTAGCAGCCACCGAATGCTGTTGCGTATCTGAATTGGTTCTCGCCAGTCTGGTGGCCGGACGGGGCACCGGAGTCGCACCTCCAGTGCTACTTCTCGTACTCTCGTTTCTATTAAACGGTGCCACGTCATGTTCTGTGTCAGAATCTACTGCTAAGTAACCACCACCACCAACGGAGGACACTCCAGTACGCAAAAGATTCTCGTGTTCGGCGTATCGGACTCTCTCATCGACTGCCACATTCCCATTTTGAGCTCTCTCTAAGCCACGTTCCATTTCACCGATTTGTCTCTCTAATTTACGCAGGACTTCGTCGGAAGGCGGAGTCGGTGCGTTTTCATCAGGCGGTTCGGGAGCTTGGAATGATTTCAGATGAATCGGGTGTGCTCTACTGATTTCGAGTCGCTTGGGAGCGATACCTGCCGATGTGAATTCATACTGTGTCCTTTGGGGAGGGATTCTTTCCAACATAGCGAGAGATACGGGTGAGGGCGGCGGCGCCCCATTCACGGAGGGTTCTGGATTGTCGGGCGCCGGCGACACCCTGGGAGCGCGGAAGCTTTTCCGCATGAAGTCTTCGCGAGTAAGTTTCCTTTCCATCATCAATCAAAATGCATGTCATACACTTATTCAACTAGATGCAATATACCATTATATTCACAGTATCATATCACAGTTACGCTTTAATTATCGTTTGTTAGCTGTAAGAAGAAATACGTTTGCTATAATCACTCACGTTTATGTATTTTAATTTATCTACTAATTATGATACAAACGTGACAGATTATGAAAGTTTGGTTTGAGCAATATTCCGATCACATTATAGAATTTCTACAAATAGACTAGCCAGCTACACCATAGTGTTCGACCTTGCCCTGTACAAATCGTGCTAGATGCCGGTCCACCCTTAATTGGACTCGAGTCCATTTGAATGACGTCAAGCTAGCCACATTTAAAATTCGAACAGACTGACGTATCAACATCGAAGTAGAATCGATTAATATATTAAACGATTCTACCATGATAACGTATCTTTTACTGATAGTCTTCACTGTCAATCGCTGGTTTAGGGAAACAAATCACATTAGAACGATCATATTGGAATAATAAAAAGATGTCCTTATTGACGAAACAAGACTAAGAAATAAAAAAAACATAGTATTAGGCTATGATGGATTTGAAATTTAGACACCTACAAGTGTAGAAAATAAATTGTCATTCACAAGCGAAAATGAACTACAACCTTCTACCGTCTATTGACGAATTTAATGTATTAACTACAAACTTAGATATTCAGTTTGATATGGTTTGAAGCAAAACTGTGGCAGTTTTATAATTGGGAATGTTTCTAAAAGAAAATCATATAACTCCAATTTGGAAAAGTTGTAGCGGCCAGAGGGAGACTCGGTGACGAAGACCGGAGATTATTGAACCTGAAAAGAAAGAGACACAACAAATGAGTCAAAGAGAACACCTATGACCGTTCACCATTTCCCAATTTCGTAGCACACATAGCTGTCGCAGCGAACATAGAGCCCTCTGAAATAGATAAACGTACCATCACCAAACACCTGGATAAACATAAACGTCGAAACAATAAGCGAGACGACACAAAACATTAAGAAATTTTGTGAGGACAATATAAACTTGAAATTTCCTTGACTGCACAATTTAAATTAATACGTTTTTATTAACGAGAGAGCTACTTTTGTTTTCAAAAATTTCTAAGAAAGGTTACGTCAAAAATATTTGTTCAGCAAAGATTAACAGACCGTAAACGAACACTTTCATTACCTAGTCTTGTTTTGTTATTTATTTATAAAGGTACATATTAAACAGCCAAAGGCCAGCAAAAATGTACACAGTTGGAATAACATAAGTAAACCTAAGTAATCAAAAAGAAAACATAAATAAAGAAAAAACAATAATGAAGTAGTCTTCAATGCTAAGTGTTAAAACAACGCGGGCGAAAGGAATGAATTTACCATAGAAAAGTCACTAATTGTGTACGAATTTAATAAATTCGTACAAAACATTAAACATTAATTTATCTGCAATCAATCAAAATGAAATAAGAATATGCATAAAATACACAATAAATATGTTTATGTATATATATTTAAAAATTATTTATTTGTTTAGGTTGGGGTAAAGTGTCAACCTCAAATCATTTTTAAATTTCTGTTTTGATCCTAAAAATATATCCATGTCTGGAAATTTTGAATTGTATAAGTGTGACACGCGCGTTAGGATAGAATAGTCCCATATTTTGTACGGTGCAATGGTACGTGAAAAAGTGAAGTGTGACGAGTACTTTAATTAAGTACAGATGGCGAGAGGCCCGCGAGCTGCTCAGGGCAATGAAGGTGGTCACGTATCAGATCCCACAGCAACCCGATATCGAAAATCAAAAGTTATGAAACAAAAAATTTAGAAACTCATTATTATAAAACTAAATCTCAATCTATTTTGTCATAAAATGTTTATCATCTCTAAACGTCTTGAGTAATCCTGATAGTCCATCGTTTTAATGTAACAGATGGTGCTTGAAACATGGCTCACATTTTTTTTAAAACGCTGTAGCACACCAAACACTCCAACTGTGTCAAACTTTTGCACACAACGTTTAATAAAAGTACTGTTGTCAATAATATTTTCAAATAGATGTGTGTCAGGTTATGCATTGTTATTCGCCATATTGTTCGAAATATGCATTGCATATGTAATTTTTCTTTATATTGTAACAGGTGATAGTTACTTTTCCATGGATACGGACTTTTGATAAACTAAAGATGATAATACTTGGACGATTTTATCGTCTATTATTATTATATTTCATGTTATCTACTACAAATTTTATATCGGACTGATTTTAATGCCCTTGAACGTTGTAGCTAATTTCATATCTAGCAAAATTTACACTGATTTGTTTAAACTGTTACTTAGCTTTAACTAAGGTGTAATTTTCCAAAGCCAAATCAGACTAGCCTTTAGGAGCTTTGGTTCTCAAACATATGGTGATCGTAACTCGGCTGTTTGTGCAAACATAAACATATATGACCGATGTGAAGACATAATTGATTGTTACAACAAAAAATAGAAAATATAGATGTTTTATTTTAATCGCTAATGTACCATTCAGCAATCAGTCTAGATAGAAAGAAAATTGTTATGCTATTTTTAATGTTGTAAATGAATATGATTGTAAAAGATAAACAAAAGTAATTTCTACCAAACCAAAATATTAGCAGTGAGACAATTACGCAAGGAAATTTTATTTTAAACGTTTTAGTCAGCCAATCAAGCGCCATCAATTGTAGGTAAACAAAACATGAGCTGATCGTATCACTTGGCAAAGACTATGCAGGTGCTATTTATGTGTGGACCCAAAATAGCAGGTATAAAAATAACCTGCTTTAAATCCCTTCTATTTTTAACACGAGTTGAGTCAAGCTTGTTCTCGCGAATTTTGGAACCGCTAGATCATCTTTTTGAATCATTATTTGTGATTGTGATCATGCCAACACAACACCGAAACATGTGTTTACAAGGTTTCAAAGAAAAGCGTATCCAAATTGTCTTAAAAATAGTATCACAAACTATATATGTTTTCAAACTTATACACTTCTAATATATGTATTCAATTATACTTGTATTTGTATATATGCCATCAATGGTCTCAAGTTGCAGCTGTTGTAACAACCGTATGTAACTTGAGTAGATTTGCTGTAGCAAAAGTATTAATCCTATAAATATTAGGTCTACTTTAGCTTGTTAGATTTAATTAAGTCCTTTGTCTGTGTAATAACCACAAGTTTCCGCTATCCTACTAGTATCTCCTTGCAATAAAATTGTCAGACTGTCAATGACTAAAAATAAGACCTGTAACAATATCACCTACATTGTTTGTATGAAAGGAAGGCATTTTAGCTAATAATTCTGATAAAAAAAAACTAATTAATATCGGTGAATAATTTGTACAAAACTCCATTAACAGTGATAGATTAATAGGATCATATGAATCAAGGTGAGATTCCGACATTAATGGGTCAATAAATTTACCTAAAACCTATTTAACCATTATTGTTAGGCAAACTTTGTAGTAGATGATTGATGTCGCAACTTGGGCCCACGCGAATTCTCGGCCATTTAAAAAGCGTTTAAAAAGTCCAAAAAAGGTACAGCGTTGGGCAGTTTTTGCAGTGCCCGCGACCGGTTTCAACGGACACAGATGTAGGTGCCACGAAGATGCTGCATGTCGTTATAACGTAACACGTTATATTGGCAGTTAATTTATATGCGGTGGAAGTAAAGCGAGAGGTATACAAGCAAAATCTCTATATAACCTTCTAAAAGACCTGGGCCTGTCGAGAACTGCAGTAACTTAAATTTTAGAACGAGCAACTAAGGCTGCATGCACTAACTGGCTAGGAAGGGCGGGCAACTCGAGCAGTGAAGATGAGCGTTGATGCGCATCTTAAAGGAGGCCTCCTTAAACCTACACCTGGGTCGCAAGTCCCGGGAACTGATCAGTTTCTCTCTCTCTCTCCCACACGATGGACCCGGCACCCGCACGGTGAATCCATGGATTGCTTAGAAGTTCGTCTCTACTATAATCTGAGGATCACCGCCGATGACTCATCTCAAACCGCATTTCACGAGGTTGTACGATTCAAACATTTCGGCCAAGATTGTGAGAGATCGGACGCGCTGGCCAACATTGGCGAGTTGGCCGTGACAGCGAGAGCTTGGGAAGGTAAAGAATCCATCACGTGAAGCCAGGCGACCCCCGTCAACGCGGTCGATACTTTCGTCACAAAATCTCTGGTGTAAGTCATAAGACTAAATCGCTTATTAAATAAGCACGACAAAACGATTCCTTTTAAAATTTTAATCGAACTCACTTACTCGTCAATTATACCACAATACATCACACTTATATTTGTGAGAAGTTTTGAATCTGAATGAGTGACTTTCACGTGTTTATCGGGACTATGAACTTGACACTGCTATACGTACCATACAGTCACTGACTGACTATGAGTCGTGAAAATTTTACCAATTGCGTGTCACACACATGCCAACAGACACAATCAGTAGGTTATCAGTAACAATTTAATGCATATAAAAACAAATGTGAAATAAAACAAGGAGTTAATGAACCGCTGTGCACTCGCGACTTGAAACACGCAGAGGCTGCGCGAGCGACTCGCCGACGAAGCGTGACTCACGAGCATCGAACCGAGAGCACGACTCCGTCTCGCTCTAAACCAGTATTTGCTATAGCCTTCTCGCTCTTCAGCCTGCTGTTTAAGGCCTCACAATCACAACCATTTCGATACGCGAATTTAAGATTAGATTAAAAAGTTTCTATTTTTATGTGTACTAGAACCCAAAATTCAAATGACCGGAATACACTAGTATTATACAAGAATAGTACGTTATACTTTTTTGTACTCATTGTTACTTTATTGTAATTAGCACACACAATGTATGCCGGCGTTCTATAAAAAGTGGCAGGAAATTTCACAGAACCAACATCCCTCATTATGATTATTTAACCTACATTGTCTTGTCTGCATCGCGTTTGACCCGTGGGACTAATTGCATTGCCTCGAACGAAGTGAGTCACAGCTCGGTCGGCTCTTTCAAATCAAACAATTTCGCAATACTTAACCGTTCCGACAAAATAATGTTATTA